ATTTAGATACGAAAATTAGGGCGCTCACTTGACATTCGAAACACACATCGTGCAATCGGTATAAATTTGCACTGAAAATTCAATCGCGATTTCTCATTCATCTTTCATTGGAATTTGTTTATCGTTTTCATCACGACACAAATACAGAAACTTTTTTACACGATTCTCCTCATGATCGATAAATATGTATAATACCATGATAACGCACTATCTCGCGCATGCAATTTCACGCGCGCTCCGACATCGTCATAATTCGTCATCGGGATGTAAAAAAAAAAAAAAAAAAAAAAAAACATTAAGCGAAGGAGCCACAAAAAATGAAAAGTGACATCATTCAGCGACTTCTCGCTTTACCGCAACGATTGCGCAAGTTCCGTCCAAGTCCACGTAAGAGAGAAGTAAGAAAGCAAGACTGCGGACTGCAGTTTCCTGGGTCGGTCAACGTACAGTAACATTAGATTCTTGCGGATTCACCGGGCAATGGCAGCGTCGTATTTCCGTGACAAGGCGAGGGAAAAGGGAAAGGGTAGGGATCAGAAAATCGCGAGCGCGAGAGAGCGAAAAGGAGCCGGTCGCGTTTCACGCCGGTAGACACGAAAAACATAGTTAACAGCTGCTGCTACTGCCGTCGTCAGTGTCGTCTTCGTCGTCGCGGCTATAGCTGCACCTGTCGCGTCCGTTAACGCGCGACTAAAATACGGAACGCGCGATGAGAACGAGCGAGTATTCGTGAGCGGAATTGTCCCGCCGACGATTACGAGATCGCTCTTTTCCTTTTCTTTATATCCTTCGCTCTATCTCCTTTCTGGCGGACCACTCGACAGGATGTACCTGTCCGATAGGATGAGATGTTCAACGCGTTCGCTTCTTCCGCTTTCCGTCCGCAAAATTTTTCAATATTCCCGCCTAGGAAGATTAAAATGTGAAAAGACGGGCTTCTTGTTCGGCCATTTTTTCCCTATTCCTTTTTTCTCTCCGCGAGCCAGCTTATATTATACGTAGAACTACCGGCGATGTACAGGATAGCTTGAAAAATATTCAAGATGACTTGTTCTCTTTACGGGCATATTAATCGCGCGACTCCGTTCTTCACTCATATTGTAGTATACATTTTTAATAGATGTTAAATTATGTATTTCTCTGTACATATAGAAATATATGTAACGCTTAAAATTAATTGGAAGGTAAAGATTTGATGTTCTACTTAAACAGTTGGAAAGACAAACTTTAACATGTTGTTTAAATGTTTTCCAACTAAGGCAAACTATGGAAGAAAATTATACATCAATTTATATATTTTACACGCAGCAAGATTATGTTAAAAAAGATTAGACACTTATATCTCTTACTTTTCTGCATCTTATTGTTATTTTTTCACGTGGAAAGAGCAGAGAGTCGTGTCTTTTTCATCTATTCGATGTGTGATAAAAAAAATATAAAATGTAAATCGAAGAATTTTGTTTATCCTACGTTAATTCGATATACATAAACCATATAAATCATAAAAATATCAACCATATTTAATAATCTTTACGAAGGTGTAGGAGCTAATTTTTACCAAGCAAATTTCCGTTATTCAACAAAAAGTAACGAATAATTTTAATTTAATTCGATATATGTGCCGAGTAATTTCACGTGGGAGGATGTGAAACCAAAGAATATACGAACCATATGGATATTGAACTTATGCTTGCAAAATTATCCTCTTGAAATGCATCTCTGAAAATCTTATTGTAATGCAGAGGTTAACCGCGCGCATTAGGGCTCCTTTCATCCCGCTTACAATCGATCCAAATGAATACACGTGGGATCGTCGATCGATCTCCCGCCTGCGCTTTCCTGACTGCTGATCTCTCCCGATACAAAGCCGATAATTTGTAACACCATGCGGCGCGATAAGGAATCGGTTGTAATTTACGACGGGTAATAAGTCTCTTTATCGCCGATCGGCGCTCGAAGAGGGGAAGAAAAGGTTTATGGATTTCAGAATATTCCGTCTCTCGAAGCGCAAAACGCGATTAAATGAACGCGAGAGAAAGAAGGAGGAGACACGCCTCGTCTTACCAGGCGTGTTTCTCGCCAGATATTGAACCGGAGAATTGAATTCGCAGTTATTAATAGCGACAATTATTCAACGCGCACAAGGAATGGGAAAATACCAATCGACATCACCGATAAATCAGACGCGGGAGGTAACCAGCGTTATGTTAAAAAAAAAAAAAGGAGACCATCGAACCAACACACGTTCGCGTCAAAGTCGACGCTGGTGCCGCTTTGTCTGATGGCACCTATACACGCACGCTTGCGATTAGATAAAATAGGAAGATGAGGGAGGAAGTGAAATACGCGTCCATGTGTGCATCTACATATATATATATATATCTGCGTGCGATACGCGTGGGCGCGGCAAAGTCATGTAATTGCGTGAATATACATACGCGAATACATACACACATCAATATACTGCTCTTCCGCCATAAACTTCGTCGTTATCTTCTCTTCCGCGATAATCTTAGATTATAGGCGAAGACAAAGATTAGCGGAGATAAAGCGTACAATAGTCTTTTTTTTTTTTTGCGACGTGTAGTGGTCGGTCATTCAGTGAAGGCTATATTTTCAAATGGAATTTTAGATTTCATGACTGATGAATGACGCTTTTTCACTAACGGTTAGTATTATCGTCGCAAAATTTACTTTAATGGAAAGTTTTATGTAAAAATTTGCATGAAATATTTTATGCTGACGAGAAAAATCGTGCGCGTTAAATAATGTATATTTTTTTATGGCGATTGAAACATTCTCTTTAAAATCATAAAAGTATTCGCTGTCGCTCATTTAAATGTTATGAATACTAACATTGGGACAAGCGTAAAAATTTCTTACAACAATTGTCATTAATCTTTATTGCTGTAAAATAGTCAATTAATATTCATAGTCATAAATTATTAAACAAGTATTTCCTTTGCCTGCTATTAGCATTAGAAGGGACTGTAAGAGTTGTTGCACTTTATCAATTATTTGGGGATGTAATATTTTTTTAATTTAATTCGATATCAAATTCAATATTAAATTCGCGCTAAAAAGAAACATCTCTATAATTAGATTTATTGCTAAAGACAATCTGTCCTTTTATTCGAAATATGAAGAATATTAACCATATGAAGAATCACTGTTTTGTTAATTAAACATATATTAGTGTTCAAGTCAAATATATGTTTTGTTAAATTTAACGTTTTATTTAATTTAAATATTTTTATACGTTCAATTCACAAAATAATATTTAGTTGAAAGGTTTAGTCAAGTTGCAAAGTTTTTTTTCAGTGTATCGAATCATTAAATTGAAGACTAAATTATATATTCTATGATAATTCGATGTACAGATGTGTCAAAAGTCTGAAAACGGTTAAATATTTCATAAACTATGCATTTTTAAAAGTGTCTCGAACAAAAGTCATAGAATTTAAAAATATATATTTATTACAGATTTTATCACTTTGGTCTTGAATGGTATTGTCGAGATCTTGAATTTTTAAACGAAACTACTATATTTTTTTTTTATATAAATCGATTCCTCGCAATAATTCTATAATACATAAAAATTATAAGGGTAAAATGGTCAAAAGAGTTAATAGTTTATGAGATATTTTATATTTTAATTTGACATAAATCTTACATAAACTATAAAATATGCACAAAATGATGAGAGAAATCGATTGGTATAAAGAAAACGCATAGTTGTTTTTAAGAAAAAATATGTAATTTGCAACTAGCAGCTACATATTTTTTCTTAAAAACAACTATCCGTTTTCTTTATATCAATCGAGTTCTCTCATTATTTTATGCATGAAAGTATTAACGTAAGATCGAAAAATCAATATTTTATAAGATATTTCATAGTTTATTGTTTACGTAATTTAATGTCAAATTAAAATATAAAAAACATTTCCTTAAACTGTTCACTTTTTGACTCTCTTACCTTTATAAAACATTTTATGCATAGTATTGTGAAAAATCGATATTTATATAAAAAAAATATAATAATTCTATTTAAAAAAATGTATATCCTGCTCTGACCTATGTATCGCTATCTATGATAAAACGGATAAGATTATAGTACATAGATAATTTTAAGCCCTACAACTTTTGAAACATTTTTTTAAATGCATACTTTATGAAATATTCAATCGTTCCGAGAATGTTGATACTCTCTGTATGTTACGTTGTTGACAATAAATACTTGAGCTTTATTTAGCTTTATGTATGTAACAGCTTGACATAAATGTGTTATATTGAGTAATCCCGCGTCCAGAGTGCGAAACAATACACAGAAAAAAAAATTATTAACTTGACCTCTAAACTTAACTTTCAACTAAATATTATTTTCTTAATTAAACATATAAAAATATTTAAATTAAATATAACATATCAAATCTAACAAAATGTATATTTGATTCAAATACTAATATATGCTCGATTAACAAAATAATAATTTAGTTATTCAAGTTAACAAAAAATGTTTTTCAGTGTACGAATAAAAACGAAATAAAGATGAGAGAGATTGTGTGCAAATTAGTATCATGTCATAATTTTGTTGAACTATAACAGATTCGAAATCAACCGCGGGGAAAAGGGGGAATTATCGAACTTGTCGACAGAACACATAAATCTGCATGTATCGATATAACTGGAATAATAGCTAGGAACGCTAGTAAGCCTCAGATAAGTGAAGGCGTAGTTTATCGGCGGACGATTCCGCTCCGCGCGAACGCGCTCGTTACGCGCGAGCACGGAAACTCGATTATGCAACGGTTCGTTACCTTGATACTGTCGTAGCAGGCGGTGACCCGTCCGTTCTGCACCTCGACGTTAGCTGGCGGATGGGCGAACTTGCACTCCGTGTCGGGCCTGGTGCACTTGTTGCGCTGGAACTCCCGACAGACCTCCAGTTGCAGCCACCGCGAGTCCTTGCCGTTCAGTAGGTTATTCATGTTGACCATTGCCATTCTTCCACTCCTGGAAGACCGAAGAAATCCCCCGTTCGTGCGCTGACCGTTTGAGAGTAAGTCCCGAGACTCTCCACCACCGAGAATTCACCACCGATATAACTCTCTCCTCTCCCACTCTCTCTCTCTCTTCCTTCCTAAATTCCTCCTCGCGTGATGATCAGCGCCTTTATCCCCGGTCGCGTGCACTCGCGTCGACTGATCAAGGTTTATATATACGTTTCGGTTTACTGGGATACGATCGAGGAACTCGCGGCACGAGCTCGTCGGCACTTATTCACGAGATTTCGCGACGTCCACCCTTATGCGTTCCACCACTTTCACCCTGTCTCGTCAATCTCTCTCACCATTCGTTCACGATGCACACGCTCATTCGTCCCTTCCCCTCTCTTCCACTCGCTCTTTTTTTCTCTCTCTCTCTCTCTTTCAACTTCTTTCACACACAAAGAACGCGAAATCCCGCGTGTGCCTCGGAGTCGTTCAACTACTTTAGACTTGTTATACCTTACAGACGGCAGAAGATCTTCCGTTTAAGCAGGATGCAACGTTCTTAATGTCCCATGTACGCGTGAGAAATCACTATTGTGTCTCTCGCGATCTCGATCTTCCTCACGTTGAAGCCGCGCTCGGCTCACGGTCGTCGTTGTTGTTGTTGTTGTTGACGCGCGATATTTCAGCGAATCGTCGTCTCGCGGAAATTCGGCGTTTATCAGCAACGTCGAAGCGTGGCTTATCGCTTCTCTCCCGCCCGATATCGATTCCGCGTCACGGTGAATTAATCGAAGGAGCGCGGTGGCGGCGAATTTAGGCGTCGTCGTCGATGGTTAGCGATTGTGCGAGATTCTTCGCGCTCTCTCGTAGGCCGTTGTTGCGTTGGTTTCCCGTTCCGAATAATCTCCGAGTGGGTGTGAAAGCCGGAAGTGTGTGTATATATATATATATATATATAGGCGAAAGAACCGGAGGAGAAAAAGAAGCGAAGAGGGTGAAGCTATATATCGACAGCGATTAGACTCCGGTCGATTTTAGGCGAGATGGCACAGCTACTCTCTCCCGTCCTGGGCGATGACGAAGGTCGTCGATCTCGTCTATCGACTCCTCGTTCGCTCTATACTTCCTCTATCTTCCTTGATCTTGCAGCACGCCGCACTCGAGAAAGCCGAGGACGTAGTAGTAGTAATAGTCGGGCAAAGCTTGAAAGCCTTCGAAGCTAAACGTCGACCAAGAGGAGTGTGCTCTCTAGACGCGCGCGCTTTTGTACGCGTATATCTCCTCTTCCTTTATTACACACAGGAGGCTGCAGTTGGTCGCTGCTGCTGAGGGTGTACTGTCGTCCGCGTGTGTATGTGTGTTTGTCTACGTATATGCGTGTCTCTCGGAAAGCCGGTCTCGTGGCGTCCTTCAAGCCGGTTTCAAACTAACGTGTGTTTCTCTCGTGACTGGAAGGAGTACAGGAGGTCACGCTGGTGTTGGTAGTCACGATACGGCGAAGGATCAGGATCACGGTTCTGTTCACCAGAGGCGGAATGGCGGCGCGCGAGTCGATTATCTCGGGAATTCCGGATGCCCGGGAAGGGAGACGACGCGGATACCGATGAAGAAGCGTGCGAAGAGAGATTGGTAACGGAGACGGACGATAAAGAGGAGCGTGGTAAGAGGATGGTGTAAAGCACGTGAAGACACGACGGGCGCGACAGGAGAGGGCGAAGGTCCGGTCGCGTTTGGGGTCGTGTCGAGGATCGGACCCGCGCAGAAGACGGGGGAAAAGGAAGGGTGCGACGAGACAGAGAGAGGGAGGTTTCCGGGGAGAGGGTAGGGTGGGGCGGGGGGAGAGGAGAGAATTGCGAGTTAGCGAGTGACGTTGCGCTTCCGTTCCTCGGATTTACGTCATTTATTCGGCGCGCTGTTGGCTCCTCCCGCGCGGTCGAACTCCAGTTCCTGCTGTTCTGGAAACATACCAAAAGCGAAAACTCGCGTTACTGCGGATGCAAAGGCTTAAAATGCTTTCTGTTTCGGGCTTCTGAGCGGTCGGGGATATAATGGGGGGTGACGGCGATGCAAGGGGAGGTTAAGCGCAAGCCGCGAACAGACAGACATATATATATAGACTCGGTAAAATGCAAAATACTACGCAATGCACAAGCATACACGCTCGAACAAACGACAGACGTCATCAATGTCGAGATGGCGAACACGCGGCGAATCGAAAAAAAAAATATATATATATATATATCGACAAGCAGCGTGTTACTACATCTCTCATCGGTATACACACTGAATAAAATGCGCGCGCAAGGATCAGCTGATTTTGACAGCTCAGATTCAAAGCATCCGCGAGACCTGTCTATCGATTATAAACGAAATGTTATAGATTAGCAGTGTCACGGCTGATTGTTCAGCAAGTTTTGCAAATCTTATAATTAATAATATTGAATATATATAATAATTTAATCAACATACGACATACATCATATTCATTCATTTAACCATCTATCGATGGTAAAAGTATTCGGTGCCGGATGTTGTTCAAGCATCGCAAGCAATTTTAATCGACCCAGCGAATAGCGTTCTCGCACACACCTAGAAGAAGTGAAGCGCCGTATAATTTAATAATTCTAGCTGTGAAAACTCGCAACGTGCCATAACTCTTCACGATCTCCTGCGTACATTAGCCGGAGAAAAACTGTGTTTGCATATGCGCAGCATAAACATCGGCGCGTTTCGGGGATGAAGGGGGAGAGAGAGAGAAACGGGGGACACGATCGTGCATTTTATGTACGACGACGTAGAGATACACACAGAGTTAAGGCGAAGAAAAAGGCACGTGCGCGCGAGCAGGACTGTAGTACAATTTTCCGTCGCGCAAGTAAGCCGCTTACGAAAAGCGGGCTCGAGTCGCCGTTTCTCATGTTACCTGGCACGAGTTATGACGGCGTATGTGTGTGCCGCGTCCGGCGCGCACACAAACGCGACGGCCAAGAAAAACGTTTTGAGCGCGATCGTTTGTTTTCGTCAGAATTCCGCGTGAGAATCGCGGAAATATATCGCTGCGGAAAAGTTACGCTAAAGTCTCGATATCATTAGCTGTTAAGTGCAACAATTATCGCACGCGGTCTCTCGAATACTCAGAAATTAATGTATGTGTATATGTATCGAATTTATATTTTATGGACTATTTTTTTATATAATTTATAACGAAAGCTAGAATTTAGATTAATATTCTATTCATCGTTTTATATGTATTTTGATGTATATATTTTCATACAATTTAGATTATTATTTTGTACATAGGATATGTATAAAAGAAACTTGTATATTCTGCATATGGTAAAATTATTTTATTTGTATTATTATATTCTCTTCCTCTTTAATCAATTTATATCATTTTTTGCTCAAATTAATATACCAATAAAAATATTAAGAGGAAAGCTCATTAGAGTCTAGTAATAATTTACGAGATATTGAAACTTTTATTTTAATGAGTAGTTTAGGAAAAATAATAAAATTTATTCAAACCATTTGTCTCTGAAATGAAACGACTAAAATAATTTGCTGAGTGGACAGTTGCTAAAAGGAGAATATATTAAAATCTATTCTATTTGTAGTCTGATATTTTGATTTACAAATTATTCTTCAAATTGCAAAATATAATTATAATTAGAATTTTATAAATTATCTATAAAAGTATTTATATTTTATTTCTTTATTTGTGATTCAACTAATTAATTATGTCTCGAAATTGCATTTATTGGTACCTATATGTTTCTATCGGAGTATTCCAACTTCGTTAAATTAAAAAATTTTAAAGTTTTCCTTCAAAACAGTTTTGTACAAGAAAACAGAAAATAACGTTGTGCTTGCTATTCTAAATAGTGAAAATTGAAAATGAATTTCTCCATCCGGTTAATGTAAAAGTAAAATACGTTAAATTTTAAATATATCGCTCGACACAATAACGTGAAACATTATACAACTGTAAGCGTATCTACAGTAATCAAAAATAAACAAAATATCTTTTGCATGACTTCAATATTACTGTATTTCCGAATATTTCAAACTTCAACATTGGATGATGTCTATCCAATAACAGTCGGAATATACATCCTGATATACGAATAAACGTACGATATTTCGATAATCCGAGAAGTTTGAATAGAGTCAACAATTGTTAAAATCAATAGAATCTGTTTTAGAACTAGAAAACAGACATAGAAAAGTGTTACGAATATAAGCCCACGTCTATGTATAAAATACGCGATAAATTGTCATATCTATAAAGGAAATGTGTCAGATTTAACCTTTATCTGGAACTCGTTTTAGTTTTATGAACCTATTGGATATATCTTGCTCGTTTGTGTTGCTGCGGTTTATCTGAGATATTTCAATTTTCACTATTTACTGACAGCTCGCATTAATACAGTATTTCATAATTCTATTGCATTATTACATAGTATACCATTTTTTCGTTCATTACCATTAATTAATCGTTTAGCGTATTAATATCTATATAATTATTTTATTTTATCTAAATGCCTAAAAAAAAATAATATCTTGATTATTATTTATAAAGCAATATTGTTCTAAAGTATATTAGAACATTTTATATAACAAAAAAGAATGTTGAAATAATTCATATTAAAATATCAACGATATTACGAGTAGTGATATATTTTGTATTTCACAAGCGTGTTAATTTACATGAACGCTAATCAGATATATATATATATATATATATATATATATATATATATATATATGACATTTAAGAACGTGCATACATATGATAATAATTCGACGTTAACATTGCGATATTAAATTATATTCCGGCAAAAAAAGGCTTCGATAAGAAAAGCATATCGCGTTGAGATAAGGATTAAATGTGACTCTTTCCACATGAATCAAATGGCGCGTGTTGTTAATCTGGAACGAATCGCTGATACCGCTGCGGCGCCGACGTGAAACTTTGATCGAGAAAAACGGGAAGGTCGGCTTTATTAATAATTATTACGTACAAGACGAAGCCGAGCAGGCGAGATACGACTAACGTACGGATCTTTCTCTTTCTCTCGTGACTCGCGTGCTCGAGAGACCACACTCTGTCCTTCTTATTCTCATTCCCTCTCTCCCTCTCGCTCCCTCCCTTTCTCTCGCTCCCGTTCTTTAGTTCTCTGCCGGTCGAATCGATATACGTGCACGAATGCGGCTTCGAGCTTCGTCCACTTCTTCTTTCACGTGACTACCGCAAGAAAGAGGGCCGGCCGAATCAATATCTCACACAGACATTTCGACCTCGTCCTCGTAGCTGTCGCCGCGAGAGCTCCTCGCACCCTTCCAAGGTCGTTCTCATCGTCTGAGTCGAACCCGACGTTGCAAAACGCGACTGAATCTCTAATTAATCTCCCTTTTTATATATCCTATGCCCTCGAATATTATGCGCGAATATACCTATATATGCGCGTATCTATCGCGTGCACGTGTTAAAACACGTGTGTCGAACATCGCGCAAGCGTGTATAATATTGTATATTCGACAGCCGTGGGCAAAATGAACAATTTACTTTCTTATTGAATTATACGAAACCCTGTGCGCGGATAGAGCACTTGACACTTTGCCTAATTCCGAGTGTCATTCAAAGTTGCAGCAAGCGCGAGATTCTTTGTAAGACGCAAATCGTATTAGAACATCGAAGATTCCTTCCGAAGAGATAATAGATTCTTATCTCTCTCTCTTTCTTGAAAATACTTGCACCTAACTTAATCTTTCTCTAATCAAGACGCGCTGAACATCCTTTTTATTATTCATTTCGTTTGTCAAAATATAATTACTTATGTATGCGTTGCAATTTTATATAATTTTTTTAATCCAATAACTCGGAGTACTTTCTAAATTCCATTTTGGTAATATAAAATTGATGAAAAACAGTTTGGAATAAAAGATATTACGAATTTGCATTAAATGTTAAAAATTAACAAATACTGAAAAAATAAATTATCGGTACAATTATTTAATATTTCACATAAAGTACAACGTAAAGAACGAAAAAAAAAAAAAAAAAAAAAAAAAAAAAATTCGTGCCGATTGTTGAAAATGACGATACATTGGATATTAAAGCAGACGCGCGGTTTTCTCGTTGCGCGAGTTTTTATTTGTTAGACGAGCCATTTATAACGAAGCCATCATAATACAACGGTTGGATACGTGATTGCGGTCGATTGGACAAATCCATCGACGCGATACGTCGACAGAGAGAGAGAGAGCCGGCGCGACGCGGCGATTCGATCGGCAGAGGATGAATGAATGCATGAGAACGAGAGGGATGTGTGCGAGAAAGGGAAGGGACGAGAGAGGAGAGGAGGACAAAGAGCGATGAGATAGAAAAAATGATTTTTAACATTTCCGATAGATTGCACCTGATTACCCGGACCATACGAGCGGGCACGTGCAGCCTCTGCACGCGCGTGTGTGCATGTGCACGCTCGTTCACCCGATGGGTTTCCCTTTGTGCTGCGAGACCGGAATAAAGTAAAAAAGAAGAGCGAAATTAACGGAATGAAACAATGGGAACGACCGGGCTTAAGGGTTGCTGCCGGCTGTGTAATGGAATTAGGTCCGATTAAATTAGCTAAAAGGATTTTAGGTATGTACCGAAGGAGCAAACTATGTTTTCGATATTATCGTATTTCTTTCTCGTGCCTGCGGATACAAGCGGTGCTTCAGAGTCGCGCCTTTAATACGACCCTGATAACTGTCACGCATAACATACGTAACGTTCGCGCAAGTTTTCTAATATAGCTTTCTCTATTTTCTAACGTTCCAATTGAAAATTTACCGCTTCGTCAAATGTTTCAGTTCAATTTTAATCTAAAATTTAACAGAGAAAATGTGTGTGTGTGTGTGTGTCGAAGAAGAACATTTATCACATAAGTTGCATTCATTTTGTGCCGAT